ATTCCACAATAATTATGATCCAGATTTATTAAGATCCACAAAATAGTTGTTCCAAGCGATTTTGTTCCACAAAATATTTGTCCCGTCATACTTTTGTTCCGTAAAACACTTGTTCCAGTGGACTTTTGTTCCACAAATTCCTTATTCCACGTTTGGAAAAAGTATTTTGTGGAACAAAAGTCCACTGGAACAAGTGTTTTGTGGAACAATAATAAATGTCCCATTCAGAATCTGAAAGAACTTCTTATTTTACTTTTTTGGTGAAGTGGAATTTATCGGTTTATTATTGAATTTTAGTGAGGAGGGGAAATCCATTTTATTTAGGGAATAGTTCACTTATGCAGTCTTTTCATCATTGATTTTTATTTTCCAAATGTTGGCCCAAGAATCTATTTTATTTATATGTATTTGTTGATGTTGATTTTTGAGCCGCGTTATCAGAAATATTATTTGACGTGAGTATTGCTAGTCGTGTTGAGTATCGTCGGCAAATGCGACAAGAAGAGTTTACTAAATGTTTACAAAAAAAATTATTAAATTCATAAATCATAATATTATGTTAAAGTTCCCGATCACAGGGCTAACTGGCTGATGTATAGTTAAAATATAGCTGGCGAGGTAGATATTTTTAAATTTTTTTTGTTTTGCTTATTTGATATTGAAGCGGCTTTTATCACGTAAATTGCGTCTAGTGTGAAACCAGCTTTAAAGCTTTTCGTTTAAAACACAATAACACTGCGTAAGACCAAGACAGCGACCCCCTCCTGCCCTATTCGTGTTGAGTGTTCTGTGGTGAAATTGTTTGTTATGAATTGAATTGTTAATCGTACCAACGATTTAAAATAATATACCCATTTATTTTAAAATCAATGATCTACCTTAGACAATCCATAATATATCCACTGATTCAGTATATTATTTATATTTGTGGACATAATATCTTAAATCGCGACCGCACCACAGTCCACAGAATAGATTAAATTCCACTTATTCTGTGATCGTAGGTAGGTACTACGGATTATAGCAAGTTTTACTACAATATTACAGTTGTTGTTGTACACTTTTATGGATTACTTTTACATTTACATGCCTCTAGCCTCTATTACCTGCATACGTTGCAACTCGCCAGCCGGTTCAAGGTTATCATTTTAAAAGTGGTTACGGTATATAATATATATACCAGCCTATCTGTCATCATTATCTTTTACGGATTTACGGCCAAACCGACAATATTTACCTCGGTGATTGGTGATGATATATTATTTATATATCAGCTAGCGAGTGCCGAATAGTGTCTACTGTCTACTGTTTTATTTCGAGACGAGAGTTGGGATAACTCACTGAACGCAATACGAAGTGTTCCGTGTCCGACGTCCGGGTTTTTCAGCGAATAGACTGGCCGCCGGGTCTTAAACTGTAATTATTATTTTGACATACTTTTTTGATTTAACATATTTTTTTTTCAATTCAGTGATTTCGTTTAGTTTTACACTGGTATAATAAACTGTAAAGATTTAGTTTTATAAATAAGCAGGTTACGTCGAATAGCAGCCTAGTGTTTTGGTACTTAAATACAGTTAATAATACATTTTACTCACCCAATATATATTTAGCTTTGTGTTAGGTTTTAATTTTTGAAATCGCAAACTCTTCGTTTTTCTGAAGAACTTACCATCTTCATATCAAGTTATTAAGTATAACTTAGGTAGTTATTAGCTATTCTTTGTGTAGTTATTCAAAATAAATAAGGTTTATTAACAATAGTAGGTAAATGTGAAATTTATTTTATGAATATTTTCTTTTAACAGTGTTCTGATTTAAGTAATTTTATACCTACTATGAATAATTGTCTGTACTTTCCTTTTTTCAGTATCAATTTAATCCAAGATTTTAATATGGCGGCTCAACTTGATTCAGCTAAATCAGCCATCAAAGATTCATTATACGATGAATCCAAGCCTTGGTGTAAATTTTTCAGTTGGGCTGAAGCACAAACAGGAGTCAATAGACTGAACTTATTTATTGGTAAGAAATTCAAAATTAACAATAGTATGCTTTTTATTATGAGTTGATTAAATTAAAAAGTTGTGTTGTTGGTTATTAATTTGCCATCTATAGGTATAGTCCGGTTTAGACATATGGTGCCTATTGGCCGTGAATAATTTGTTGCTCCTATACTACCTCTTTATGAAATTATTTTTTTGATATTTGTTCTTACATGTTTCTTCTGTAACTTTAAATTGTACAATCAATTATTTGCAATATAATAATTAGATTAATTTTTTGTTTATATAATTTATCACTGTTTTGTATATTTAAGTTCTACCATTGCTTAATGTGCAAAAAGTTGCCTATTTAAGCTTTAGTAAATAAATAATAATATACAAAAACCCTTAATTATTCAATTTGAATAAATAATGAAATAATATTTTTAACTTATTGAACTTAACAAAAAGTAAAACAATAAATACAAAGTAATAAACATAATGTTAATTTTATTTTAAATACATAATTAATACCTATATTTAAAACTGTATTTCCCACTATAAGTTGGTAAACTGAAAACAATTTCAATTAAAACATATTTTGACACCTTCACAATTGTATGTATTGATACAATTAAACTATCAATATAAATGAACAATAAACTCTTCAACTCTTCAACAAATAATTTGTATTTTGTATCAATAAGAATATGCTGGATGGTGCTTGGAAATTTGTGGCCAATTAATTCAATTACCGTTTTTTTTACCGCTTCATTTATTATTACAAATAAAAATATTAAGCATTTATTGTACCTTTTACAAATACAATGTTTACCTACGTTCTATCCTTTGCTTAAATAAATAATTGTAGTATAATGTAGGTATTTACAAACATGTATGGCATTATAATTTGTTTAAGATGTCTAATCAAATACAAAGCAAGAAATATATATTAGTTTAATTTGAATATTGAATCATAATCTTTATTAAATAAAATAGGACCAAGTACAGATTTTGTTATTCAGTGAATATTAATCACTAATAATTTATTATATTGATGTTCATACTATTTAAAATTTAGATCATACTTATTTTTGCTGTATTGATAATAAATTATTTCTTAATTCAGGTATAGTCCAAATAGTTAAAATTATCTAATGTAAATAGTAATAACTAACCATAAGTAGGTAGTATACTTTAAACTTCTAATTTTTAAATTCATTCTTTCCACCAACTAATAATGTTCTAATAACCCCTCTTGTTTGACTCAGCGTTTTATGATACTAAACAATAATTATAGGTATATTAAGTCTCAGGTTACAAACCATATTATCTATCTGTTTATATATTGTATTTAAAATTATGCACATTTGCTCACAAAAATAAATTTTTTTTTGTTCATGCATAAACACTTGCTATTGGTTACAGGAATACAATGCTTAAAAAAAATTGGTACAAACTAGGCTACCCGCATTGCTGTGAGATTTTTTTAAATTAAGAAAATAATTTTGAATTTACTGTTCGTTATTCAAATGTATATCAAAAGCCAATGTATGTATGCTAGTAGCTGATAGATTCATAAATCACTCGACTGATTTCGACTAAAATGTCAAAGATTGTTTTAAGAAAAATCAGGAAAGGTTAAAGGGTAGTATGAACCTGTACATCCTATATACGTAGTGGTATATCTAATCTATTGATGTATGCAGATTCTAATCTTAGTCGAATTAGTTTACGAAGCGAGAATACAATACTAAGGTACACCAATGCTGATTTACCCATAAATTAAATTATACTAAAACACCAAAATACACCTATTTAGCAAAGTATAGTAAATTTGTTCATTCTTTTTGTGGGCAAAGTTTGGTTGTATAGCTAATTTTAAATAAATACAATAATTGATGCTTATATCTCTGAACTTAAAACAGTTTTCAAATGTACCTATTATAGTTAATTAGTCTTGATTTATGTGTAAAGTATTTCTTATATTCTATACTAATATTGAGTCATTCTCTATTTATATTTATGAAATATTAGGTAATGATTATATCACTGATTAATTTATTGATATGTGCATCATAGGTACTTAATATAATATTCTTTAGTTTTTTAAAGTCTGGTTGATGAAACCTTAATGTTTCATTAAATATGTTACATATTTTGTGGAATCTATTTAATTTTGACATAAAATATGTATGATGTTAAACTAAGTTTACATCAACTCAACAAACATTTCTTTTAAAAACTATTGAATATCCGTTAAAACTCTTCTATTTGTGTTTATTGGATGAAATAATAAAAAATACTTTTAAGTAGGTATAAGTGTTTAACTTTTTTATTTGTTGATAAATTGATAAACAATTAATTAATGTTTTTATAAATAATAATAGCAATTATATTAGCTATAAAGTAACATTTTGCAACATTGCCATTTAAAATTGTAAATTAATAGATTTTTTAATTGCACAATATTATATTTATAAAATATTTAGCTATTCATCACAATTCATCATTTTTACTTTAAGTAATTTTAGGTTAGAAAATAAAACATTATAATATACTTGTTGGATGTTTGCTATTTTAAATGATTTAAATTAGACTCACTAAAAAATTTACTAAAAAGAGAAATGGTTATTTAATAAATTAATAAATTTTTCAAATGTATCTTTGTTTTTATTTAAAAAAAATTTAGGTTTGGCGGTGTTCCTTATATTTTACTTATTAATTGGATATGGAACCTTATTGTTAAGTAATTTGATCGGCTTTTTATACCCGGCATATGCATCAATTAAAGCGGTTGAATCTAGTGGAAAAGATGATGACACAAAATGGTTGACATATTGGGTGGTATTTTCATTTATTACACTTATTGAATTGCCAGCTGCAATTTTACTTAGCTGGATTCCATTTTACTCTTTAATCAAAGTAAGTTTTTGTAATTATAAATAAATATAGGTAATAAGAAATTTAAATTTATAATAATGCTTATTGTTATGAATGTATAGAATTCATTTTAATTTAATGTACAGTAGTACAGTACAATAATATGCATTCAACTGTATAAATTATTTACTATTGCTTCTTGAACATATTAATAGTTAGAAACAAAATAGGTTAAGTATATTATAATTGTGTGTAATTTTGTTTTCAGACAATCTTTTTTGTGTGGTGTTTTATACCAATCAGCAATAATGGTTCTGTGGTTGTGTACAATAGATTTATACGTCCATACTTTTTAAAACATCAAGGAGATATTGATCAAGCAGTAAATGATCTGTCCAAAAAAGGTAAAGAGACATGAGTTTACTAACACTTAAACAAAGTATTCAATAAATTGCTTAACCAATTTTAAATTACTTTTATTTTATTAATTTATACTATTTAAAAAATAATAATAGGTTATTATTTTATGAATTATATACTCATTTTTTCTAGTTAGTAACTTATTCAGCTTTTGATAAGCATAGTATATTTTTATTTTTATGCAAAATGTGCTTAAAATATTAATGAATTTTAAATTGTTAGGTAGGGTGACATCTAATATCCCCTTCAGTCTTAAGTTTATAATTATTTTTAGGATACCTCACCTACATGTATGCATTACATTATTGAATAACTTCTATAAAATATTCTTAAATAAATATGATATTATTTTTTTTTTTTTAAGCATTCAGAAATCTATAATTATATAATATGGCTTTATTTATTAAAATTACTTATTAATCTTACCTAATGCTCATATTATAACTCTTATATGGATTAGAATAGAACATACTTTAATGGTGAACCATTCTTTACCCCTATATGTATCTAATAAACATCATGGTAGAATACATCATTTTCATAGCTGTTAAGGAGTATTATCTACTCCATTTTTACTGAAAAACTAATTTATCATTATTATTTTACTATATTTCCATGTGTTTGATGAATGACATATTAAACAATATTCAATAATTTATTATTGCTTCATACTAAATTGAATTTTTTTTTTAGCTTCTGATGTTGCATTTGAGAAGTTAGTTACTGCAAAAGTCAATTAAATAATACAACTAGTTTTGGGGTAAATTTTGTTGAACATCCATTATACATGTTTTCATCAATAAAATTGAAAAGGGTAAGTTTCTGTAATAGAAAATATTAAAATAAAAAATATTTTGCTTTTAGTGGTAACTGATAAGTATTAAATAAGTTATTGGTGCTTAGTTTTTTAAGTATAAACCTATTTTATGTATTATGCCATAGTATTGGTATGTAGAATTTTTAATAGTCTGAATCACTTCAGAATATTGTATAATAGATGATAGTTTTGATTCACTTCAATCAAAATTGTTGATGTTTTTGTACTTAATGCATAGAGTTATGTAAGTATAGTTTAAGATTATTAGTTAATTAACATTTTTAAAAGTTAAAATGCTTGGACAAAATAATAATGTAATAATTAGAGAATTTTATACATCACTAAACTATTAATATAATTAGCAAAAGTAAATTACAATTTTTTTAAAAATAATATAAATATATGTGCATTTATATATATATTGGTACAATAGAACATTTTAAGTATTAATCTTCTGTATATTATGTATTGATGTATTGTGCATTGTCGCCATATTTGGACACAATGTTTGTATCTTTGCATTTTATTTTATTTTTTTATAATTTTAATTACATTTAATTAAAAATACATTTTTGATTGTACTATATACATAAAAAAAATCCTACATTTAATTAATACTTTTGACTTTACAATTTTTATTTTATTACTTTTTAAACAAATAAAATATTTATATGTTATTCTTTCATCACATTCTTACACCAACCAAAATAATATTAAAATAAGTGGAGCAAAATGTATCTTACGACAAACAGCCGTGATGGTTTTAGCTAAGTAGAATTTGAATGTTGTTAAAATGTCCATACTCAATTAAAATTAACTATTTTGTGTTGTAGTTAGTAATTGTTTTAACTTGTGATTAGTAAATTAGAATTTTTTCAATGTTTCGATTTCTAATTAATTTGATATTAATGAGAACTATTTATCCGAATGTCAGATATTGCTTACACTGTAGAGTGTAAACATTACATATTATGTTATGTGATTAATCATTAACACAATCCTATAATTTTTCTTTCCATTTGCCCTTTTAAAACACATTTTGAATAGTATACAATAAGTGTTCATTTAGAGGTACCACTAAGTATTTTTAGTTGGATAATCTTGGATTGAATTGAGTTTTTAAGAGGTGAAGGGGAGTAAAAAAAAACTAGTAGGGATGGCTGATACCATTTTTTACCCATACCAATAATCACATTTTAGTACCATTCATTATCCAACCATATTTATTGTATTATATCTATTTACATTATTATTGTATGCACAATTTAATCTCGTTATGTTAAAGGTACTATTGCTATCGTGCAAAATATTTATAAATTATTATGTAATATTGTTCGCATATATGTATGTCTTATGTAATTGTCAAGCTGTATTAGTCTAGTACTGGAAACTATATAAAAAATAACTATATACATTTTCAAAAATTAAATATTTATAAATTTATTTTGTTCTTAAAATTATTATAATTTGTTGAGTTATCTAACTAGTATCTTTTAAAATTTAAATAAAATTTTAAAACAACTGCATGAAGCAAATTTTTTTAACCAATTTTTGTATTTAAATTAATAAATAATCTGTTTTAAAATTTTAAACTTATTCATTATATCCCTAATGTTATTATTACTATTTGTACACGCTACAAAGTAAATAAACAAATATATTCATTTTTATAATTTTCATTACAATAAATTATTTTTTATCTTGCAAATATATATTGTTATCAAACAAATTATTAGATTATTCTTAAATTTTAAGTTACGCTAACATTGTCAATAGTTTTATAATAAGATAAAAAACTTAAAACATACTAATCATTCATTCAAATCTGAAAAAAAAAATGGTATTGATATTTAAAATAAAGTGAGTTGTATAGAGAATTCCAAAAGCGCATAAATGTTTTCACCTTCCAGAAACCCATTTATATTCAATATCATCTAGCAGAAATATCTAGTGGCACTCCTTAGTATAAACATACCCAGTGGTCGAAGGGGGGGGGGAGATATACAATAGGATGGCATCCCTCCACTTTTCATAATTCATATTTTCCATCCCTCCACTTATAGCCACTTCGACCATTCAACATACTATATAGTGTATATACTAATTATTAATTAACCTCTTGTTATGTTCAATCTAACATTACTTTTGTTGTTATTTAGAACTTTAATTTCATATCATTACAATAACAGTGAATAACATTGTTGTATATACTATGTCTCAATAATCAAATTATTTTTATTTTCAGGTACAAACAAGAACTAATATTGTTTTACAAGTAAATTTATTTTTCGGTATTTTATCGTCAGTTATTTATTAGAATATTACAACAAAAACTGTTTAAATCATCAATGAAAAGTGTATCATTATATTATATTTTAAATTTCATTAAGTTTTCTATTACTGTAAAATATAATTTTAAAGTGTTAATATAATATTTTTAAATCTTACATGTTTTTGTTTCTTTTTTTTAAGTAAAATGTATTATAATAAATATATTGGTTCATTGAATTTATTAGGTTTTTGGTGTCAAGATTAATTTAATGATTAATTTAAAATAAATAAATAAAAAAAAACAGGTAAGTGGATGTCGTTCTGCAGTACAGTTAGTTACAAGTAGGGCAATGTAATGGATGGAATTAAATTTGAATTCAATAATATAAAATCATTATATACGAAAAACAATTCTGAGCGAAGACAGTCTATCAGTCTATAGTATTACTCAGCAATTTAGTATATTTGATGATATTATTGTGATTAAAGTATGAGTAATTTATGTATAAGTAAGAATTAGTACTATGCAGTAGATTAAATTCATTTTTGTCAAAAAAAAAAAATACATTTGAAAAGTCATTACTTGTATAAAATATAATATACTTTAAATGTTTAAAATACCCACGAATAATATTTTTAATTTACGACAAAATAACATAAATAATTATTCTTGGTTATTTAAAGTGTAATTTCGTCCACATTTAAACAAAAAAAACTAAAAAAAATATAATTGTATATGTTTAGATTTTTTGGTTATAGAATAACATTCTTAGTTTTGTTTTAAATTTTCAACTCTTTCCTTTAAAAGTTGAAAATGTTAAACTAGGGCCCTGTAAAGAGGCCCTCTACAGTTCCTTAGTTAAACTATACAATTATTTGTACATTTTAAATGATATGAATATTATCAAAATTTGAACTTTAAATGCTAATAAAAAAAAACTGTGCCAATGTATTTTTGATGTTTTTCAACTGATATTGTAAATATATATCAGGAGTCTTGATTTACATTTTCAAGCTTTTGACCAAGAAAATAAAATTATAGAAAAGATTTAAAATTGAAAATTCCCGGAAAGAGCTCAAAACGAGTCAAAATATTTTGAAAATTTTATCAAGTATAAGAATTGATAATATAAACATAATGACAATTTCAAATATCTACAGTTATTCGTTTTTGAATTACAACGAAATAAGAAAATTGCTAATGAGATATGGAGTGAATATTCAATGTTGTAAAAATGTAAATTTCAAACTCTCATAAAAACTTAATTTGACTTCCAAGAAGAATTGTTTTTTTTTTTAATAAAGGTATACAAACTTATAAGAAATCTTGTATTAAATGTTTAAATCTTAGATATAGAAATAAAATATTTGTGAGTTTCTAATTTAAAATAATTTGCAAATTTAAGTGATTTTTAAAATGTGACTATAAAATATAATAATATATTAATATACTCTAGAAGGTTTGAGTAACCACTTATAATATTCCTAAGCTACAAAAAATTACAAAAATCGTTATTATTAGTTTTAATCATAGGTTTTAATATTATGTAGCTTTGTTCACATTGAAACTTAGAATCAAGATTTTCAAGAAGAAAGATTCGATACGTATCGATACACTCATAATAAAATCTTGAATGACTGTACAACAGAGAATATGCAATAGGGTTGTTTCTATGCACTATGAACAGGAATAAAAAAAAAATTGTGTCGATGAACCAAGGCGGATATTATATATGCCTTGCGATGAACATAAAACAAAATTTTGTTCAATGATAACTTATATAAAATATAAATTAAGAAAAGTGATAACATTATCATAAATTGTTAATCTTATTTTAAGGGTTATGTAATTATTATGTTGTGGTATTTAAATTTTAAGTTGATATTTCTTTTTGAAGTTTGAATTGTTTGTGATTTTTATATTTTATATTGGGTTTTTGAGTTTCATGCAGCATACATTCTTGTCTATGAGCATACACTCAAGTCATAAAATACTTATAATTCATAGATATTTAAATATATGGTTGAAAATAATTTTCAACTAATATTAAATTATTTAAATAAGAGTTTAAAATGTTCATATCGAGGTGTGGATTTCGAATAGTAAGTAAGTTGGGATATCGTACTAAAAGTTTAGTTGAAGGATCAAAATGCTCATCTTCATTAAAGCTGTGTGCACCGGTAACTAGTGCAAGTCGGTATTATTGTATTAAACCAGAAAATCCTTTGGATACATTAAATTACGAACCAAATACACCAAAACCCTTCGATGATATAGATTATGATTCAATTACTGGTGGTGATGAAGAAACATTGTCAAAATTAAAGCGTTTGATCTTGGAGATTGATTTACTGTATGAGAGTGGTGAACAAATACCAAGCCACCTCAGAGTAGATCAATGGCAAAGCTTATTACAACTAAGTAGCCGGTCATCGCGAATGAAACATTTAAGATATTTGTTTTTAATTGAAAAAAAAAAAGAAAATCGTGTTGTACGCAAATTAGAAAAAAGAGCTGAACGCATAGAACGATATGAAAATGAACCAAAAAATAATCACATTGAGTATGGATTAATGAGAAACAGTATGTTTCATAGAATTTATGAAAAGCAAATGAATTCTCTGTATAACTACCGTTTATGTGAAGCTATGTTGTATGGACAAGACATATTAATTGATTGTAGTTATGACGGACACATGTCTTTGAAAGAACAAACAAACTGTGCAAAACAATTATTGTTAATGTGGTCTTACAATCGTACCCACAAGGATCCTTTTAATATTATATTTTGTAATGTTGATAGAGAAGGTACAGTATTCAAAAGTTTATCAAAAACGATACCAACTATTGATGACCCAACATTCCCTTTAAATTATACAAAAAAAAATTACTTAGATCTTTATCCAAGAGAGAAGCTTGTGTATTTGTCCCCTCATTGTAATGTAGAACTTAAAGAATACAATCATGATGATGTATATATCATTGGTAAGGTTTACAACAATAAAGTTAATATTTTTATAAATAAATTATAATAATATAACTATGCCAATATTTTAAGGTGCAATGGTTGATAAGATGAAAGTTGAGCCTTTATCGTTAGCGAAGGGGAAACGAGATAAAATAAGAATGGCCAAATTACCACTTGATTTATATTTAGACTGGAAACAAGGAACTAAGAATTTAACCATTAATCAAGTATGTTAACTACTAACTATCTAACTATCCCATGTTAAGATTTATTAACTATAATTTTGAATGGTATTTAGACTTAGTGAAAGATTCAATAAAAATTCATCATTTGTCTATAAGCATTTAAATAATATCCATATTAATTTTAAAATATTAAATTTAAACCATGTAAAATGTTATTTATAGTACATATTTTGTTTTTGTCAGATAATTGAATACTTAGATTTTTATAATGTTATATTTATGAATATTTACTGTTCTTAGATGATTATGATTATGGCAGACTTAAAAGTTGATAATAATTGGGCAAACGCTTTAAGACATATACCAAGAAGAAAACTTCTAGAAGTTGATGCTTACCAAAGAGGACTTGTTGGAAGTAATCATAAAATATCAGCAAAGCGAATTAGAGAAGATTTCAGAAGAAATTCTGTGTACAATTTATTAATTAAAAAGTAGTTATACATAGTACATTTATAGATATGTTTTGAAATTATTAAATTAATATACAATGGATCAATTTAAAACCTGACCCACTCAATATTTGTTTGGAAAATACTGTATTTATGATTAAGAAATAAATTGATGATGGTACAATGATGTTATAATGTAGAATTGCAATGGTTACAATTTTTTCAAATACTCACTAAATTCAAGAAATAATTTGTGGTTAAAGACTTCTATAAATTTTAAAAAACATAGGTACTAACTAAGGTGGTTCATTAAAAATATTTATTGTAAATCTATTATTATTTTCTGTATTTATAAATCTAATTAACACAAATAAACTTAATCTGTCTTGAGTCTGTTATCCAAATAATCTAAGTGAAAATTAACCTTTTGGTTGTTATTTATTGTTTTAAAATATGTGATATAAGAACATATTGAAAATAAAAAATTTTAATTGTTATAATAAACACACTTTAATATTCCCATGCTTAAAAAGTATCATTATACAATGCAAGTTTCCAGAAAACTAATATTATCAATTAGATAAATCATGAACTACCTATAGTACATACCATTTTTACAATTTCACTATTTTGGATTGGGAGGATGTATCCAGTTCTAAATATATAATAAACAGTTAAATTTTAACAAATAAACATGTGTATTATAAACAAATACTTAAAATTTAAATACATAATACATTAACTAATATGGTATTACATAATAATTTCAGATGAGGTAACTGTATACAATATTTATGGTAACTAAAATAATAATATGACGAAAACATAACAAACAATTTAACAAATATTAATACACTGAGTAAAAAATACAACTATTACAGAATAGAATAAGATAAAGCTTTAGTTTTTAAATGTATAAAGAATAATTATGCATAGACGTATAGTTATGGGCAATTTTATCATTTGTTAAAAACATATTTGAAAGTAGGTATACAAAATTGTTATTACCGGGTAACTTAAGTTTTTCAAACTTTTTTTTTATGAATTACTTAATCTATATGAGTTGTATTATAGTTAATATTTATCTACGCAGAACTAAATTTTATTAAGAATTACATGTCACAGTTCAGGCAATTGTTCTAAAAGTAGGTTGCATTTAATAATTAAAAATAATCAATTATAGATTTAGAACCATTGCCCAAATATTGTACTATCTATTCAAATTTGTCACATTTTACTTTTTTTTATACTTTTCTCTTTGAAAATTAAGCTATTGAGCATTAATTGTTTTGTATAATTCTCAACCATCAATATAATATATAATATATTTATATTGCATGTAAGTGCTTAGGTTTTTATAAAAATTCATATTGAACTAATAAACAATGTTTAAAATAAAATGTAATGTGTTGAATTAATGTCATTTTAATATTATTTCTAGATTCAACTTGATGACTTTAAAATATATATAAAACAATTAAATAGTCTCTAGTTCAATTTAATCAGAGTTAAGATATTTCACTAATATATTCAGAACAATACACTGTTCAGTAATAATGACTAGATGTGTAAAGAAAGGCACTATAATTATGTGAGCTTAAACTAATTTTTATTTTGATTAAACAACAGCATTGATCACCGCTTTGAGTCTTTTAGTAATATGACCCTGGACATGTTTTTGTAAATGATCACGGCGGTAAAATGCTTTTCCACACTCTACACAGACATGTGCTTTTTCTCCAGAATGTACAATATAATGTCGAGCTAAATGTTCATTACGCTTGAAGGTCTTTGGACATGCAGCACAGGTATATGGTCTCTGGTCACTATGACTTAATTGATGTCTATCTAAGTGCTCTTTTCGTTTTAATCCAGCTCCACATTCCATACATATAAATCTACGCTCTACCTAAACTTAAAATAATAATTAAAACACATTAAAATGAAATTTGAAAAGTCTATTTTATCTTTATACCTTGTGGTTGGCTAAATGATGTTCCAAAACTGTTTTATCCGTATACGCCATTAAGCATTCAGAACAACAATATAGCCGAGATCCATCGGGTGATGTAACTATCCTAACATCACCCAATCCTTGTCTTCTTTTTCCTTCTTGTGGAGGAGATAACTATTAAAAATTATGAAAGCTTTGAATGAAATATCTGGCTTCTAAACAAGAGATTAAAATCTATTTATCTATATTACCTTAAGAAATTCTCTCAAACTAGTCAAGTATTCAGCAACTTTGTTTCCAGACTGTACAGCAGCAAAACCTTCCCATTGACCGAGCCTTTCTTGTTCTTCTAATGTTAAAGGATCGGTCATAGTAGATACATCTACTGATATTCTTGCTTTAACTTCAAGAACCTGTGAGCGGCTAGAATTTTTATAAGAATTTTGTTTTGAAGGTAACTGAGTTTCCACATATCTATAATTGTCATAGAACTCATTCTTGTCGTGATTTTTAAAAAAATCCACATTGCCATTGAAATGAGAATCTAATTTCAATGTGTTTTGTAGATCTAAATGTCTAGGGTCAAATATGTTACTTGATTGGTACCTACAATACAATGTAATATACTTTAATATGCAGAACATTCGTAGGCAAATATTAAGAATTCATTCATCATTACCTGACATCATTAACCATTTGTGGAAAAACAATACGGTCAACAATAGTTGGAGTTGTTTGGTGGTGAAAACGAGGTGAACAATTTTTATTTGTAGGATTAGAAAAATGATTTTGATGCATTGCGTTTAGTGAAGGGATTTTATATTGATTCAAATAATTCATAATTGTTAGGAGTCATTACGTTTTACAGATTAAGCTAATGTAAATTGTTAAAATTCACAAAAACATAAAACTAACGACTAAGGAAATGTTGATTCTAATTACGAATTTGTTTTTCATATCGTTATTATAAAAGCCTTAAGATATTAAACGATAAATAAATATCATTAAAAAGTAAAAACTAGTAGCAAAATACAGCAATTAAGAATTAACAATAACAAATCACAAATGATTGAAAACAAATCATAATATAATGATGTTAAGTAATTTTAGACACAATTTTATTATTTTTTATGTTATTATATTTAAAAATACAAATTATATTTATCTGGTAAAAATTATTAAAAACGATAATAGTTTAACACTGATGTTAGCAGTAATATATTGATAAGAGAACATCAGTAATGGCGGTAGATGGTGTGTGTTAAGTTACCGATATCATACCCCTCAACATGCAATGGTTTATGGTTTTTATTTTAAATTTGGAAGAAATTATTTTCCAAAATCAAAAATTGTGTAACTAGTAAACTACTAACCGTCTAATGTTTTGAAATTAGCAATAATTAACAATATACTATTGTTTTCAGTTCCATATTGAATTATAATATACGTTCGATAGTCACTTTCAACATGAATCTAATAGTTGTTGTTTTTTTATATATTTTTTTTTATGGCACTCGCTAATTTCAACAGATCCTTCTTTCTCACCCTTTTCGTTTTTTATAGGTGAAAAGTGTATTACACTAGTATTTTTTACCATTGTAATGCACCAACGCCAAACGAAAGGTTCACATAAGTGACAAGTGTTGGTAAACGGTAGGTGGTAGTAAATTGTGAAGCAATAACTATAAGTAATAACTAATAACTAACTTTTTCGTTTTTTGAAACTCCACAATCATTTCATCTATATTTATTTATTTCATTAGAGATCTCTCGGAAATGGTATAGCGACGAGGTGGAATTATTATTGCTAGATGTATATAGAAAATAAGTCGATTATAATATATTCTTATTCCACGGATCGATTACAAAGCATAATCAAATTTATAATATACCTAAAGTAGGTTTTGACATATAAACATAGCTCTGGTTTAAATATTTATAATCCTTTTCCAACATTCAGAATTTAAAATTTTGATTTTATTAGAAACCTTCGATAAACATTTAAACCTTTTCAAAAGTAATTTGCTTGTATAAAATATAATAATTTACTCTAAAAGTTTCAAGTATCTACCCACGGGCCACAAATAATATTTAAATTAAAAATAATTTGCAAATTTCCTTAAATTTGATGAATTTTTCTATTGAATTTTAACCTTTAAATGAGTATACCAAAACTGAGTACACGAATCTTTATTATTTTTAAATTGCAATTATAATAACAACGCATAAGAAAGTTTGTAGTTCAAAAAGAACCAAAAGATTTTGAAAATGTTATCATGTATAGAAAATTATAAAATAAACATTTGGTGAAAATGTTAAGTATTAACGGCTATTCGTTTTTGAACTCGACAAAATAAGACAATTTGAAGAGAAATGGTGAATTTACGACCTTACGGTTGAAAAAAACCATGCGGTACCTAATGTCATAAAAATTTGAACTTTAAACACTCATACAAAATTAATATTGATATGTCGCTCTTCGGTAATTTTTTTTTCATTTCATAAAGGTAGAACAATAACGAGAGTCGAGAAATATTGTAATTTGTAGGTATTGCCTAAATGTAAAAACCCTAGATATAAAAATATTTTTTTTACAATAATTTCTTACTAAAAATGATCTATACATTTTCGTGATATTGACGAGTATTGTCACCTTGAGACACTCATAAAAAGTAACAGTCGATTTACACTCATCGTTTTTATTAAGTTACACTAATAACAAGTGATAAAAAACCTTATACCTATTTGAATTTTTGTTTTTTGACTGAATGAAAAATTATTATCAACAATGATTTGCCTAATAAGAATCTAGGAAAAAAAGAACACGGAAAAAAAGAACAAGTAAAAAGAACACGGAAAAAAAGAACAAGTAAAAAAGAACACGGAAAAAAAGAACAAAGGAAAAAAAGAACATGGCAAAAAAGAACAATTTTTAGAAATTTTAAACAGTGTCCCACTAATCAATATTTTTTTTTTAAAAAATTTAATATAATGCAATTTTAATATATAGACACGTATTATGCTATATTTTTGGTATTATTTATCATAAAAAAAATACGAAACATAAATACAATAAAGGTTAGTATAATAATATAGAGTAAGATGCATTTTCATTACTGGAAAAGCCCTAAGTAATCCTAGTGCCCTTATAGTTGACTATAGGTGACCTTTTCATACTTTATCATAAAATATAACTATAGTGGTAAAATATAAAACAACATTTTATTACTGGATATTTCCCATGTAGACTTTTCATACTTTAGAGCTATAATTTGAGTGAACATATTTTAGTCTATTGACAGTCATTGAAGTGTTCAAGTGTTTTCATTACATTTTTATACTTCAATTTTTTAAATACATTTGAAATGGAAATTTTTAGATCTAATAAAGGAGGTGAAAAGTAGCTTTTGAAGAATATACTTATATCACAAAGCACAAAGGTAAAAACTATTTTACATGGAAATGTTCGACTAAAAATACGACAAATTGTGCTGGAATACTAAGGACTAGTATTTTGAAAACCTATCGTGACAATAGAACACAATCATCCTGTGAACCAATACGAAGTAAATGTTATGAAAGCAGACAGCAGTATCAAAAATGAAATTAATGGCTAAGACATCCTGTACAAATCCAGTCGAGATTTATGCTCGATGTGTCTCCGAGTTCGATGAACGTTCTAAATCAAAAATTTATGTTTCGTATTTTTTTGATAATAAATAATAATAATAATAATAAATAATACCAAAAATATAGCAGTGTCTATGCATTATATTACAATTTTTTTTTTTAAAATATTGATTAGTGGGACAATTTAAAATTTTTAAAAATTGTTCTTTTTTTCCGTGTTCTTTTTTATCGATTACCGCCTAATAAATATCCCCAGAAAAAATAACCCCGGAAAAAATAACCCCGAAAAAAAAAACCCCAAAAAATAACCCAGCGAAAAAATAACCACGGACAAATACAATGCAATTTCAATAATATAATAATAATTTAAAACAAATTTTCAATTTTTTCAGTCACGGTAAATAATAATATTAAAAAAAATATATAATATATATAATATTTATATCTATTTTATATTCATTTTCTCAAATTAAAGGATATTTTTTTCAAAAACATGTCTACTTCAATTTCGTTTGAATTTAACTGTTCACACAAGGTTTTTAATCTCTTTTGAGTGGTTTTTGATTTAGAACATTTAGTTTTGGACTCACCTACAGTTTGCAATGCAAGTTTTGCACGGTCAGCCGACAGTTCATTTTTTATTTTATTGATTAATGTCCAAATCGATGGATGTTTTACTCCGACTAAATGACTAAATCTATAGTTCCATGACTCGCAAACATTATTGGTACGTTGATTACTTTGTAGAGTTGTTTGGTGGACATTCCAAGTTTCCTAAGGAAATATTGCTGGAAAACGTCGAACGGTTAAACTTGAAACATTTTGTTTATTAACTCGACGTACGTTCCACTCACGTACGTTTCATCAAAGTAATTAAATAAATCTTCCACATCAAGAGGTATATTTAATTTTAAATAGTCAATACCTTCGTTTAATCTAGTTAGTGGCAAAAAAGCCAAACCATCTAACATACCACAAAAGTTATTAAATTATCATCATCTTGATACCTTTTTTTAACCCTAACTCCGCTAATTTCCTGTGAGTGCTCTGACAAAGATGCTAGAAACATCCATTTATTGTTAAATGTTCCCCTAATACATTTTTTGCAGCATTTATTAGTGCTTTTTCAAAATCAACTTTCAGGTATAGTCGTGGATCTGGAAAAAAATTGTTCTTTTCACAAACTGAAAGAATAGCATGGAACATTATTTCGTAAATGCTTTGAGTTTTTTTTCGAGTAGGCAGAAAAGAACCGTATAAAATTCATTATATTTTTCAATTCTTATAACGTATAATTGCAAAAAAAATTTCGGGCCCAATCCAAAGTTACCATCTGCATACCAGGTATTTGAACTTGCTAAGAGCTTCAAGTTACTTCTAGATCCAAAAATGATGACCCTTTCATATTCTTCACTATGGTTATCAAATAATAAAAACGTTTCATTTTCATAAATACTCCATTCACCTACAATACAATTATGATTATATTAATAATTAATATATTATGTTGATAATATAATTAAATTTTTTAATTATTTTTTTTATATTTTTATATTTTTAGTTTCTGAGCTGAGCGATTATTCGAAATTATTAATTGCAGTATCAATTATTTTTTAATATGTATTGATTTTCGTACACATATCAAATGTTAATACATTTTACTATATTATTATTATTATTATTGATAATTACTTATAATATAATAATAATATAATGGAACAGCGTGTTTTGTGCCTGTTAGACCGAGTTTTGCTCCGTATATTAATAATAAATAAATAAATAATATTGTATTAATTGTCAATATTCATAGTAAGTAGCTTCTATTTTTAAATCTGTTAGATTTTCAAGTACTATTGGAAAACTCTGAGTCCTTTGATTTTGAATTGTTTTTTTAATAGATTTTTCTTTCGGAAGTTCTTCAAGAATACTTTCCGAAACACCCGTCATAGTTTCTGAAAATAACTGTGCTGGCGTAGACTTCGTTATTTTAGACCGTGTTTTAATTTGCACTTTAATTTTTCAATCAATTTCATTTTGACATGAAAGATGATTATGTTCAAGATCAATTTTAATTAAACGTTTTTTATCCAGGGAAGTTTTTAAAATACATGGACATTTGTGGCTATTTTTTTTGCAGCATTTCCGCCTTATAAAATGTAAACACTCTTTGTGTACAACATACATATACTTTTTAAATGCCAACTTTTCTTTGCCCTTCTGGCTCTAGAAAATATCTAGAGTATCCATAACACTATTCGAATAGAAATTACAACAAAGCACAGAGAAACATACAATACACGAAAGCACACTATAGCCTGTAAGACACTGTAACACACTCAGGACTTGGCAAATTTTATAAATTACCACTTCTATCAGAACATTAAGGATAAAGGAACCTTTCTTATCCATTATAATATGTTCACATGGTCGCTGACTTACCTTGTTATTATATATCTGATCAATATGGCCGTGCTCTGAATCGTTTTTATCGTAGGTAATCAATAATTTATCATTGAATCTAAAATTAACGTTATTTGTTGGAATATAACAATTGTACGTAGGTAATAGGTATGTTATACATTTTGTCTCATAATCTCATATGGGGTTTTTTTCCCGTGGTTATTTTTTCACGGGGTTTTTTTTCGGGGTCTAAATTTTCGGGGTTATTTTTTCGCGGTACCGGAGTCCCGGTCCCGGTACCATCAACAATATATGGATAAAAAAATGAAAAAAATTCTCATGCTTGTAAATTAATGAAAAAAAAAAAATGAAAACATTTTGAATAGAAAATGTTCACAAAAACACTTGATGAAAATGTATTCAGTTATCTAGCATCTACGGTTATACGTTTTTGAGTAACTATAAACAAGTAAACATTAAATAAATAACATTTTGTCTTGTATAAATATTCCCACTATTTGTGATGCAATTTTTCCACCAATTTAATGAGCTGCAGCATGCAGGTAAATTTTCAAAGAAAGTTACTAATTAGAACAAGTAATGAACCAGCAGATGTCCAGATTCATTACACCTATACATTTTAAATTTATAACTCTAAATCTTACACACATTACATCTTTCTATTCATCAAATTATCAATACCTATATTGTTAGTTGTTAGAGTCAGACAAAAGTCAAAGTGAAATTTATTTGAATTTAACAGTACCTGCCTACAAAAAAAAAACATACAAACAATTTTTGAAAGAAACAAGAAAAATTAAAGTTTATGAAGCAAGCAAAGGTGGTTGGTTGATAGGTATTCGGATAAAAATAGAAAAAAATTAAATTAAAGTTATTAATTATTAGAGGGTAATATTATCAATAGGACCATAGTTTTGTGCCAAAAGAATGTAAATCGCAGTTTTTTTTATATATTATCTAATAAGTAGGTAGGTATACGAAGTTTTGAAAAAAAGTTTCGACAAATAATTACTATGGCAACCAACCATAAACAAATTATAGTCATGAATTATGATCTATGATTTATGAGTAGGTTTCCAAAAAAAGAATTAACGTAAATATCAATTTTTCAAACAAAATGTTTGTATTAGTTATTTTGTAAATTTTAAGATGGGTAGAAAGAGGCTTAAGTTAGCAGATGAACAGCGTGAGTCACAAAAAGAAGAACAATATCAAAAAAATAAGAAAAAAATCAGAAAAAAGGATAAACAAAAACGCAAAGTGTATGTTTGTATAATTTTTCATTTTATTTTTCATAAAAAATATTACGAATTTATTTAGGTAATTCGTTGTGAATGTAGATATTACTATAAGTAAACATTAATGACAATGGATCGAACAAGTAATAGATTCATCGCTTCTCTAAGAGCTCTAAATTATCTAAAATAATAATCACTAATGAATGTACCATCATAATATTATTATGCTATATTGCTATGATGTAATAATAAGCCAAATTACACTTTCTCAGTTTCTTATCAAAATATCAAATATCAATTATATGAATTATTTTTTTCCAAACTATAAAATGAACATAGTAACGATTTTAATAATAGTAAATAATAAATTTACCTTATCGCTCTTGATTCTCGATCTTGATCTTTCCATTGTGGCTTGTAGAATAAAAAAATATTGTAGATGATAATATGATTGACGAAATGACGTTTGTTTTTCCACCAGTTAATAAATAATAATATTGTAATATTGCATTAATTATTATATTCTTATAATTTACGAAATTTCTAAACAAAGTTTTTATAATATTGTTATTTGATGATGCTGTATGGTTATTTACATTGCTATATGAAAGTTATTATAAATTAAGTTTCTTAATACTTTGCGATTTTATACTTATAAACAGAGTAAGTGTATGTCAATACCTATTATTATTAATATCGTACAAGTTTATTAGGTCATTTACATAGTCAATTTAAACTTTCACTATATATTACTTGTAAATTATTTAAGTATTCATTTTATAATACAAGTAAAATTAATCAAAAAAATTGTATAAGTACTTATCTATTATTATTTTGATATTTGTTTATGTAAATGATCAATTTAAATTAATATATATAACTGTTCATTAAGTGTGAAAACCTAATTAGTTATATGTTTTAATTAAAGAGTGTTACTTTTTTAAGTATAAAAAAAATTCTCATTCAGTATTTTTTAAATATATAATTCTTAGGACGACAAATTTAAAAATTGATATCATGGAAAATAGTTTATTGGAAGCAATTAAGTCTGGCAATATGGGATGCCATTCAGAATTGACCATCATACCTATATCACAGAGCTCAAAATCCAACAGCCAGTATGCAGTGTCTTCTACTTCCCCACAAAGTACAGTATCATTATCATTAGTACCGAATACTAGCAGTGGAAAGTCAAAAAATAAGCACTCACTGCCGTCAAATGCTCAGGGAGGTGCACCCCGCAAGCGTGGGAAATCTAGTATGCCTCAATTAAACCAAATGGTGAATGATATGAATAGTTACAATCCACTCTTGGACCTGACAATGAATCGCAAACATCATAGCTATCCTAATTATAGTGCTCAATATGAACAACAATGGCCATTTAATTTGCCGTTTAACTATCCTGAATTACTGATGAATTTTAGTCAAGTTAATAAAAGGAAATCATATGCATATGAACAACCTAAAGAAAAGACTGCAGTGAATTACAACAAAGAAAACACACAAAACAAAACTAAACATTATAAACACGAACATATGCCTCCACCTTCTACTACTGCAGACCGAATATCTGGCCAATTAGAAAATGTTGAAAAAACTTTTGATATTGATTCTTTAAGTAGTGAGGATGGTTGGGCTAAATATAGAGAGTTGTTAACGGTTATTGAAGAAATGTCTGGGTCCATCAGACCAATTTATACAGGTTGTAAGAACTCTACTGAAAGATTGAAAAAGTCCATTCATAAAGCTAAAGCATTAGTAAGCGAATGTTTAAAAGAAGTCGAAAAAGTATCTAGACAACTTTAAGTAATATTATATTACTTGATAGAGAATTACTACGAATAATCAAATAGTTTAAAGCAATTATTGGTTTATTTCTTTTTATCTGAAGACAGTAGAAATTAAACTAATTATTTTCAAAATCAGTATAATAGATCAAAAAATTATACCTAACACTTATTTATTTTTAGTATCATTGGTTTTAGCTAACAAAATATAAATAGATATCATATAAGATAAATAATTTAAATATTTTTATAAGAAGAATTGTTTTTACTTTAGGGAATTTAGTTTTTTATTTTTCAAACTATAAATTAATTATTTTCCATTTATTTTATAGAAGAACACTAGAAAATTTTAAGTAATAGTATTTTCACCAAAATTGGAATATGTATACTTGCACCTAAAAAATATATTGAAAAACAATTTTATTTAACAAGATCTTATTAATTTAATGACTGACAGTAATAAAATAAAGGGTAGTAATACTAGTATTTTTCAAATTATGTTTTCAAAACATTTTATTGGTAAAAAAGTGATAATGGTGTTTTCTGAGGCCTTTAAATTTTAAATTGCATATTTATTTTACCAGGGTATCTATTCAATTTTCATTATTTTTGTTAGATTATCTATGTTTAAGAATCAAATGTTATACAAATATTTTTTAAGATTTTAGTTACTACATTGATTTGTATTATTTTTTTAAACTTTTATGCATATTTTACAAAATATTCTATTTAACTGTACATAAGTTCATACTAAACGGGTATTATATTAATTATTTTGTAATAATCATGCACTATTTTAATTATAGTTTTAGGTATACAACCGGTATTTTATTATTTTTTGATTTAATTGAGGGTAGGTTAAGTTCAACTTCTATTAGCTTAAGTTAACAGTATGAGTCTTGGATTATTTCATTTTTAACAAATTAAAACAAATGATAGTATACAATTTTTTTCAGTTGTAAAATTTACGATAAGTATTTATATTCAAACCTTATATTTAAAAAAAATTTTAACTGTGTACAATTTATTACTTACAAATTACAATATGATACAAGATTTAGTTGAATTCTTCAATAAATTAAGAATGTTATGTTTGAGTGTGGTAAATGTCTCTGCCTTAGCATAAAAATATGATGTTTGAAAATAGTATTTATAGTTTATTTAGATACTGTATATCACAGGGTTTACCATGCTTTAAATTTTAATAATATGTCAAAAGACAATTTTGAATTAAAACATAATCAATTAATTTTATAAATGTACTATAATTTGTTGTTTGTTGTATAAGAAATTTAAGTAAATAATATTTATAATCACTTGTTCCGTTTAGAACCAAAAAAAGAGTAACTAATGTACAAAATTAATTTTGTATTTTTCAGTATTAATTATTAATATTATATGACATACAATTATTTATAGCCAATATGTTTTTACACAATTAATTACAGGTATTAATTAATAAATAAATTATTTTCACTATATTTAATTTGTTAATCACTTAATTGTATTATATTAATATATGAACATGGTTTAAAATTCGGAGTTTACCCGGAAAACTATATTGACCTTATTTATATTGTTTTGTTTTCTTTAATTTTATATTTCCTCCTATATTCAATCCTTTGCAGAGTATAATTCTGCCTTATTCATATGCCTAATCAATAAATCAGTTTCATGTTAATGTAAAATATAAAAACAAGAAATTACGAAGTAACTTCTTATTATAATTAAAAAATTATCGATGTTTGGTATTTTGGTTTTTAAGAGGTTTAAACACAGATGTATGATAGTAGTTAATATATTAGGTACCTATCTGTGGATTAAGACATTTAAATAATATTTTTTTAAAACCCCTCGACATTGTGTAAATGTATAAATAAGGATTTTGATTTAAATAAAAGCAATTACTCTAATGTCCATTGTATTAGAAGTTAATTATATACCTATACCAATGATTAAATGTAACGTATATTTAAGCAATGTGTTTACTTTTAAATTATTTTAAAAGTATATATTTTTTTCGTTCTTTATACCTATTATAGGTAAAGAGCAGCAGTTTAATGTAATATATAATTATCATCAGTTAATCTATGTTTTTATTCAAAGTTAAAATTGCATTACTAAGACAGGAATGCATTGCTCTATTTCGAGTTTCTGAGCATGGAACTTAGTAGTTTGGTTCGTAATTTCAAATTTCGATATTTCATATCAAATATGTTAACAGTTCACAATAGATCAGTACTCACTACTCAGTAGTCACAAACTGATAAAATTTTTGCTGGTGTAAATGTGGACATGGTTAACTCGTTCGTATTTCAGTTAAAATTCAGTTTAATTTTTCAAGTGCATGACGTTATTAACAATCAACATTTTCATTGTTTGACATTTGAGTTATATGAAACCATTTGAATTTTTTAAATCATAATCCAGTTACATTTTAATCTGCAGGTAATGAGCCGATGAGATAATAAATTAATATTTTTAAATTTATATCACGTAGATAGGTTCTGTGTCTGTATTTCAGTCTTATAATATAAAAACCATGGACTGTGTCATTAAATTCGTCAATGGCAAGGGCCAATATAGATCTTAGTCCATAGTCAATGGTAAAATCGAGCGACGTATTTATTATGAAAACTAAAAAGTACAAGCTAAACGCAGTTTGAAAGATCGCAACCAACATCCATTTTGTCACGTATAATAATTTAAACATAACGAATTACGACACTTTTAAGTTGTACGTTACAATATACCCACATAGTATAGTACAATAGTACATCATAATACACAAAGTGCATTAGGTAAATACTGATTTGAGAGATTGCATTATGGTTATAACTTATGGTCTATAATAATTCATAGATATTTAAGTGAATTAGGATTTATAGTGATTGATCCTGTAATATTTGTAATTAGTTTGATTGACAACATTATCGTTAATTTGTAATTACTCTAAAAAATTTAGTTTTTCATTTTTCTATTATGATTTATTTATTTTTGTGTTTACTGTATACAAAATTACAAAACTCAGCCCACCTTGTCTACATAATCGGTAATAAAATGGTTTGATAAATGATTACTTGTTGCTAACTTCCAATCAAGTAATAATAACAATGTTTCCCGCCATTTACCATTAGGTACAACTATCAAGTGCTTTGTGTAGGAACTTAGGATATACTATATAGTAATAACTAATAGCCGACAGTCGCATTATACTGAATAGTGAATGGTATTCACTCTTCGGTGTTCTTACTTTTTTGCTAATGTTTGTACTCAATAGTCAATAGTGCATATACCATACTATTATTTTAAATTTCAGTTTGTCAGTGCTGTACTTAATATTTATTTTGACTATTTATCGTTTAAATTAATTTTTTTATTTCAATATTTTTTTACGGGGTAAATTGTGAAGTTTTTTTAAACATTTTATCGTGGTGTTATTAAAATTGTTGAAACATAATTAAAAAAATATGGAGGGTTTTGATACACCTGGTATATTTTTCTCTGATACATTCGGTGACGATGACAATTTGGCATCATCATTGATGAACGCAAGAACAACTAAAAAATCGTTCAAAGAATTCTTGAAAACATACAACGAAGAAAATTTTAATTATAAGTATAGAGATACATTAAAACGAAATTGTAACTTGGGTCAATTTTGTTTGGAAATAAATGTTGAGGATTTAGCTGGGTTTGATGAAAATCTTGCAGATAAGTTGTACAAACAGCCAGTGGAACATTTGCCGGCATTTGAAGAAGCTGCTACAGAGTTAGCAAAAGAATTGCTTGCTTCTGACAACTTAGAAGATATTGAGCATGTTCAAATATTACTGGCAACTAATTCATTGGCTTCTTCTTTGCGTTCTATTAAATCTGAGTCGGTTTCTCGACTTGTCAAAATTCCTGGTATTATAGTATCCGCTTCAAGTATTCGGGCTAAGGCTACACAGATAACATTGCAATGTCGATCTTGTCGAAATGTAGTGCCACATTTACCTGTGAAACCTGGTATGGACAGTTATATTTTGCCAAGAAAATGTACCACTGAACAAGCTGGCCGCCCACAATGCCCTTTGGATCCTTATTTTATTATACCGGACAAATGCAAATGCGTTGATTCCCAAATTTTAAAATTACAAGAATTAAGTGACTCGACACCTCAAGGAGAAATGCCACGACATGTACAATTATATTGTGATCGCTACTTGTGTGAACGTGTAGTTCCAGGGAACCGTGTAATGGTTGTTGGTGTTTATTCTATAAAAAAGGTAAACATTATTTAACAAATATGATTTGATTTTTGATATATTTTTTAGTTTGAAATTAATATGTTTTCAGGTTAAGACTGCAAAAAAACAAAAAATTACCGAAAATTCTCGTACTGTGGTTGGTGTGCGTGCTCCCTATTTAAGAGTTTTAGGATTCCAAATGGATGATCAGGTTGGAGGTTCTACTTTTACTATTCCCACTTCTGTTGAAGATGAGGAACTATTCAGAAAATTGTCATCATCTCCTGATATTTATGACCGTATTGCCAAGTCTATTGCACCTTCTATTTTTGGATTTAGTGATATAAAAAAAGCAATAGCTTGTCTGCTGTTTGGAGGTTCTCGAAAAAGACTTCCAGATGGTTTAACTCGGCGTGGAGACATAAATTTATTGCTTTTGGGAGATCCCGGTACAGCCAAATCACAACTTTTAAAGTTTGTGCAACAAGTTTCTCCAATTGGTGTGTACACATCTGGTAAAGGTTCTTCAGCTGCTGGACTCACAGCTTCCGTAACTCGTGATCCAACATCTCATAATTTTGTGGTGGAAGGTGGAGCAATGGTTTTGGCTGATAGTGGTGTCGTTTGTATTGATGAATTTGACAAGATGAGAGAAGGTGATAGAGTTGCGATTCATGAAGCTATGGAACAGCAAACTATATCAATAGCTAAGGCGGGCATAACAACTACTCTTAATAGCCGTTGTTCAGTGATGGCTGCTGCAAATTCGGTATTTGGTCGATGGGATGATAGTAAGGGAGAAGATAATATTGATTTCATGCCTACAATCTTATCTAGGTAATATACATTATAATATTATGTACATATTATTAGGTTTGAGAATTTAATGAAAAACAAATACATTTTTTTTCAGGTTTGATATGATATTTATTATTAAAGATGAACATGATCAAAACAGAGATATGACATTGGCGAAGCATATCATGAATGTACATTTAATGAATGGTCAAACCAAGCAAGAAGTTGAAGGTGAATTACCTTTGGCAACAATCAAAAAGTTAATAAATTACTGTCGTCAACGTTGTGGACCTCGATTATCTGAAGAAGCTGGAGAGAAGCTTAAAAGTCGTTATGTTATTATGAGGACTGGATGTCATGAATTGGAATCTGAGAAAAAACTTGCCATTCCTATTACTGTCAGACAACTAGAAGCTATCATTCGTATTGCAGAATCATTAGCTAAAATGCAATTGCAACCTTTTGCTACTGACAGCCATGTAGATGAAGCTTTAAGATTGTTTCAAGTATCTACTCTTAGTGCAGCTACATCAGGCTGTTTGTCCGGAGTAGAAGGTTTTTCAACTGAAGAAGATACAGAAACATTACAGAGAATTGAGAAGCAGTTGAAACGTCGATTTCCAATTGGATCTCAAGTGTCTGAATTCAGTATTATTCAAGATTTTTTGAGACAAAAATATCCACAAAGGGCCATAGACAAAGTTATATATTTGATGATCAGGAGAGGTGAAATACAACACATTATGCAACGTAAAATGTTAATTAGATTAAAATAATAATTAAAACATTACAAGTAATAAAATATTTTCATTTAAAATGTAATGTACCAATTAAAAATGTATTTCATATTATGTTCAAATTTATAAAAGATAATAGTAAATAATCTAACTTTTTTGTTAACCTTAGTTGTTTATTTTAATATAAATAATGAAATTAAAATGTAATATAATTAGCCTTTGAACTACAAACAAAGTACATATCTGTAAACTAATTGTCAGGGGCATAGAGGAAGGATTGTTTTAAAATTTTCATTGTTTTTATGTTTCTATAACTCCATTGACTTATTCCTATAATTAATATTATATTTTTATATTTTGTAATTTATTTTACCATAATTTGTAATATTATCATTTATCATATTGCTATAAATGTTTAAGCCATATTAAATATTGAAAACGATCCAACCTCCACCATCTATTATATTAAAATAATGTAATCAAATAATTTCTTGAGTCAATCCAGGAAGAAATTTAAAAATATTTTACTCATTTTTTCAAACTATAAACTTTTAATAAATCGACTTCTTAAACTGATGTTTTCTTTTTTTGTTATTTTATTTATTGAGTGAGTTTTGTTGCCTCTGGGCTGGATGGCAAATTCCAAAATATTTTGGTGCTGCCTGCAATAGTGTAAGGCAGCGGTTCTCAGCCTTTTTAAATTCGCGACCCCCTATAATGTCACTAAGATGTCCAACGACCCATTTATAATGTATGCATTAAAAAATTTAACCAACTGTTATTATTGTATTTATTTGTGTTTATACTTTACAAAAATAGGTATATTATGTACACTCCAATGAACGTTTTTATCGACTATCGGACTATCCAAAAAAAAATATATATATTATAACACTTACTATTAATTATAAGATTCTAAGTGAAACAATTTTTTTCCCATATGGATTGACAACCTTAAAATAATTGTAGGCGACGACCCCCCGGTTGGGAATCGCTGGTGTAAGGTACTCGGGAGGCTGAAGCACCCCTACCTCCATTGCAGTATTATTATTGAACAAAAAATTTACAGAAATTGAAGTTTCATTTACAATAATTTGTAATTTTAGTAAGAACTAAGAAGGCACTTTGTTTTTCAAGCCCTCTCTCCTATATAAAAATCCTACAACTGCAGTTGCATATGTTACATTTTTCTAGAGACCAGATACCAAACAACTCATGGGTGACATAGCTATGCCATAATTGATATTAATTAATAACCATTAATTAAATAACTTGTTTTAATCAATAGTTTTCCATTTTTTTTTGTTATACATAATTTATTACTTTTGCACTACTCACACATAATATAAAATTTTTTATTTTTTTCAAATTGTTGATTTTGTATTATTTTTTTAAAAACAAATTATTAAGTAGGTATAAGAGACTAGGAATTTGATTTTTCAACTAATAAATAATTAGTTTTATATAAAAACAACCACACAAATTTTAGATAAATATTAATATTATATTATAATGTAGCTCATAGTTTTTTTAAAAATTTTCTTATGGGTTTATAAAATTTAAAATTTATATTTTATTTTCCACCTTAACTCTAATACTTTCTCACAAATCTACAACTGCTCAGTACTTATTTAGAGGAAGGGGGGATAGTAAGTTATATTATATTAACGAAATATGACTTCTCATGGAAGCTCTCAGGCCTTGGATAATTGTTGTTTTTTTATTCCAAAGAAGAAGACTTACTTCAATGGACTCCAATTTTTTATTTTACTTCAAATGGTATACGATAATTTGAAAAAAAGCTTAAAATTGTCTTTAGTTTATAGACCTATTATAAAATTTGAGATTAAAATATTGTAAAACAAAGTTCAATCCAGGTTGTAGGATATTTCCCTCAATCTATTAAAAAAGTAATTAAATTTGGTTGATTCTACAGACCAGAATAATTATTTGTGACTCCTGTTGTATATTTTTGAAGAAAAAATTATGTTAGCATCAAATGCCTTAAGGAATTGTGTTATAAGTGTTATAACCACAGGCATGACTAGACCTCATCCCCAGCAGCAGCCTAGCTTATAACCGGGCCTACCTTAATAAACCAAAAAAAGCACTATGTACAAAGGTCGTATTTTTTTAAAGTCCTCCCATTCCTTCTGGCTTACCGATGAAATATATATATATATAATTTAAAAAAAATTCTGAATTATCTATTTACAATTAATAATCTACAGTATTTGCAGTACTTACCTTTTAGAGATTAAATTCAAGTCTAAAAATATTATTAACTACAGTCCTGCAGGATTACATCACCTAGCTACAAATCAAAAAAATAACACAACAATAATATAATATCCAATAGTAGATGATGCGAATCATATCGTTGTATGTCTCAAGTCTATAGTATAGGTTTTTCTAAAAAAATAAATCTTTTTAGCTAAATAGTAATTATAGCAATACATAAGACATTTTTTTTTAAATAAAAGTAACCCATCTGCAGACTTACAACTCGGTTGATTGGCGGCTTTTGAAAATGGCAGGGGCAGCCCCATTGTTATACACAATTTTTGGAAAACTATCATTTTTTATATTATGAAAGATTTTGTAACTATAAGACATTGTTAAAAGCAGTGCTTGATTTAAGGGATAAATTTCCTCTTCTTAAAAAAAAAATATTTGTCTGTACCTAACAAATAATATATTTTTCTAATTATATTCTAATCAATTTAAAGACATTTAAATATTCAGGTATGCACATTTTTTTTTAGACTTTTGCAATCCCCTACAATTTTTTCCCCTCATCTTGCACTGCTAGTAAGAATAACCATCATCGGGTAAATTTAAAATTGAATTTTCCATTTTATGATATTTTTTACAGGTGTCTAAAGCATGGAACTTTTTGCATCATATGATACTATTTATCCAGCAGATACTGTAGAATGGTGTCCGATACCAGAACACAGCAATGTATTTGTGTGTGGAACTTATAAGCTTGACGAGGCATCCAAAACAAAAACTGGCACTATCAATTTATTTTCTTTAAACAATCAAAACCAAATCAAATTGGTCCAGAGTGTTCCCGAAGATGCTGTGTTGGATTTAAAATGGAATTCTTTTATTGTTTCTGGACAAATATTACTAGCGGCTGCATTGTCTGGCAAGCATGTTAGTGTATATCGCTTGGGTGAGGTTTCAATAGTTAATAATCAAAACACAAGTGACAATACATCAATGTTAGGTTTTATTAATTGTTTTGTCTTAGATGAAAATGGATCTGACTTGTCTTTAAGTTTGTTCACTAGTTTTGACCTTCCAAAAACTGATGGTGCATCTAATATGAGTTTATCAATAGCTTGGTCATGCCCTTATGAAAATGGATCACAAAGTATTGCATTTAGCGACTCATGTGGTTACATTACTTTAGTAAATTTAAATGATCAACTCATACGCAGTTTCAAAGCTCATGATTTTGAATCATGGATAGTAACTTATAATTATTGGGAACCAAACATTTTATACACTGGTACATTTATTATTACTTATTAGTATAAGTGTACAACACACCTATTTTTTTAATTTAGTTTTCGAGTATATAACTAATTTCTATTTTAGTAGGTATCTAAATAATATTTCAAATTTTAGGTGGAGACGATTGTAAATTTAAGTGTTATGACCAGCGTTTACAATTTGAAAAACCTGTGTTTGAAAATAAAGAGCACGAACAAGGAGTAACAACTTGCTCATCCAATAAAATTAGAGAAAATATAATTGCCACAGGAAGGCAAGTTTTGTTTTGTAAACAAATATCAATAATATATTAATTTAATTTATCAAATTTTTAGTTATGATGAAAATATAAGGCTGTGGGATTTACGTAACACCAAGCATAGTTATAATAGCGCAAAAGTTGATGGTGGAGTTTGGAGATTAAAATGGGAACCTAATAAAGAAGAATATCTTTTAAGTGCTTCAATGTTTAATGCTGCACATATAATAGACACATCATTAAATGCAGCTAATATTTTTCAATCATTTGGTGAAAAAAACAATAGGCTTTACTATGGAGCAGATTGGTGTTACCATAATGATACCCAATTTGAACAAGCTACTAAATCAAAAAACAAAAAAATAATTGCTACATGTTCATTTTATGACCATAGGTTAGATTTATTCTTTGTCAATATGAAATTATAAAAATATATATTATTCTAAATAAAGTGATTGATAAACAATAATGTATCCATTTTATTATTTTCTAATGAATTACAGAATAAGAAGTTTATTATAATCTTTATGCATATAGTTTAGTATATGGAATATTTTACTTATATTTAAAAATGAATACATACAATCTTCATTAAACATAACATAAGATAAGAATTTAGAATTATTTTTACAAAATTCATCTACAAAAATTCATCACACCACGCTTTTAAGCAAGCATGACAATCTTTTGATTGTTTTGAGTTGGCTTTTATGGTATCTTTTAACCAGTCACAGAATAACTCTTGATCCATCTCCAAAAGAAGAAATTGACCTAATACATTGTAAGCCTAGAACAAAATAAATAATAATAATTACTCAGTTGGTAAAGAAAAAAATTAATAACATTTTTTTTTTATTTCACATTATTGTAAACCGTACATAGTGTAATATAAATCACTAAAATATAAATGTTTTACCGATACAGCTATTATTTATAAAATATAACAGTTGATATTATTATTTGGGTAAATTAAAAAAGGTCTTGGATATACTTACTTTGTTGAATCCTTGTTCTTTCAGTCTGGTTGCTAGTACAGCTCCAATACCAGCTAGATCTTCAACTGGTTTGTCTCTCATAGGCTCCCCAGAAAACGCTTTGTGTTTTTGGCTGGTTGTGGATGAAGGCGTCGTCATAATTATGGTTTATTTAGCGATCTGAGAAAAAATTATCATCCAAATAATGGTCTAAGGCTATATGTGTATCAAGCTGCAAATTATATGAGTGAAAGAAAAAAATGATTTTGAATACAATGCGAAGTCCAGTTCTAAAGTTTCATAGAAAAGAGATTAAGTAGTATGATAAGATAATAAACAAATATGTATTATATTTGCAAGCAATGTGAACATAAAACGTATTTCCATGGGCTCAAATTAAAAACATTATTTTCATTATTACGTAGTTTCACCCGTTTCGTAATTGGGTTGCAAATCGTTTTTTTTTTTAAATCGATGACTGGTCAACTGTCACAAACAACGTAAAACCAGTATATGAAATTATTTAAATCAAATTCAAAACGTATATTCGTATACACAAATGAATGTCTGTTGTTTATGAGTGTGTGCATGAAATTATAAATTGTAATACGCAGTACTATAAAAAAAAATACTTACATATATAAAAAATAAGTATAGACGTAAAGTAAAAAAGGAAAATTTAAATTGGTTATTCCGATTTCCTACAAAAAGAATCGTTCAGTTCGTTGAATAAATTAACGATAATACAGTATTTAATAGTTAATACGTTTATCACAGATCTGCCAATTTTTTATAATCATTGACAACAGGGACATCTGGTATATACGTTGTATGTCGTAATATTACTCGTTGTATACATCTTGTATCGTGTGTTAAAGTCATCTCGTAATTATTAATTATTTTAATATTATAATATTTAAATGTATAATATTGTTTAATGATGACATTATAACTTGTTATTTTAACATATTCGGTACGAGGGGTGAGTTTTGTGTACCAGACTGTTGAGAGTTTCAGGGATTCAGAATTTTGGAGTTTGTCGCTTGCCGGTTGGATGTAATACACGCCTGGTGCAAACAAGTGGTTCACCATAGTTATGAAAGAATTTCAAAGACGTTCTAAACTAGTGTATCTTGACTTTTTATATATTTTATGAAATTATGAAATGTCCTTTGAATTGTTCAAAGCACCTAACCTACAAATTCCGAGACAAGAAATATTGCTATATTCAAAAAAATTCTTTTTGGAGATTTTCGAATTGCTTGAGGTCCTGGTGGCTGGTAGTGCTTAATTAACATTATTGTGCGTTCGATTTACATTTAGTCCGTTATTTAACAATTCGAGGGTAAGTACAATTTGTCAATATTATTAATGTAACGACTAATACAAATCTGTGTTAACTTAACTCAAGTTAATACAAATATAGGTCTTAACTTAAATCAGTATGTTTTACATGGGTAAAATTTTATTTTTTTCAAAGTCTAAATATATTTGTTATTTCAGATTATGCGCATATAACTTTGATTGTGAATATTGTACGTTATAAATATACCTGCATATATAATGAAAGACAAAGAGAGACCACCTATATTAAATGTTCAACATCGTACGGTTGAAACTGTTGGACCATGGATATTAAGATATTTGTCGGGTTCCACTGTTCAAGATAAATGTTTAACTAATGGTGAAGAAGTAGAAGATACAAACGAATCATTCATTGATGAAGAAACTGAATCAGATACCATTTATCTAAAAACTCTAGATCCCAAGGAATGGAAAGATCAAGATCATTATCAGTAATTATACATATATATATATAAATATATTTAGTAGTAAATAATCATAATCTTTACAAATTTGGATAATACCATAGAGTAATACTACTATACTACTCAATAGATGATACAATGAACCATTACATCCATTATGAATAATTAGGACATCAATATTAAAAATATATAGATATTATAGTAAAGAGTGATGAACCAATCCGTTTTATGTTTCATTATACAACATTTTGAATATCATACTATTGTATTCCTACAATTTCTGATTTCTGATTGTAACCTAACTATGGTTTTGCTGTACCCAATAGTGATGAAAAAAACAACTTAATTATTTAAATAATTAAATTTTATTTACCTAAAACTAATTTTACTATTACTTTAACTAATATGAAAACCAATTTATTCTGCTATGCTTCTAAAGTACAAAATGTTTTTTTTATAAGTACAGTACAAAGATAAATTTATGAATTTTGATTCTCCACAAGAGTGCCTACCGTACTTATACCCATTTACGACACTGTAGATCATATTAACTGTTAAAAGTGATTTTCAATTTTGCTAATAGCAATCTATAAATGTAATATAAAAGTAGACACCTATACAACTTTTGCAGGGCATCAAAATTACATCCACACTCCCTACTACTATATTTAGTTACTTTTGGCATGTATCCAATTTTGTTCATGAACAGATTTTAAAAAATTGGTATCCTCATGTTTTTGATAAATCTTAAACTTTATATCTGAAATGTTTGAAATCAAATCTGACCAATAAATGTTCTAAATATTGTACCAATTTGTTGAAGTATGTAAAATTTTAAAAATTAGTGGAAAAACCCGTTTAGGTAGTTCAAATTAAATTTGCCAATTTTGTGCAGTATTTTTTTGTAATTTAATAATTAACTTTTTTTTAATACATTTTAGGGTTTTAGGATTATCAAAATTGAGATATAAAGCCACTGAAGCACAAATCAAAACTGCTTATAGACGTAGAGTTCTTAACCATCATCCGGATAAAAGAAAAAAGCTTGGCGAAAAAGTTCAAGGAGATGATGATTATTTTACATGTATCACCAAAGCTTGGGAAACTCTAGGGAATAAAACTAAAAGGCGTGCCTATGATTCAATTGATCCTAAATTTGACAACAGTATTCCTTCCAAGGAAACGGCAAAAAAATCTGACTTCTTTGAATTATTTGGTCCGGTGTTTGTTCGTAATAGTATGTGGTCAGAACAAAGTTCTATACCACTTTTAGGAGATATAGATAGTAGCCGTGATCATGTTGATCGTTTCTACAATTCTTGGTATGGTTTCAATTCATGGAGAGAATTTTCATATCTTGATGAAGAAGATCGTGAACAGGCTTCAGATCGTGAAGAACGAAGATGGATTGAAAAACAAAATCGTGCAAATCGTACTAAGCTGAAGAAAGAAGAGAGTACTCGTATTCGACAGTTAGTTGATCTAGCATATGCTAATGATCCAAGACTTTTAAAATTTAAAAAAGAGGAACAAGAAAGGAAAGCAGCTGTGAAACAAGCCAAAAAAGATGCAATAAGACAAAAACAAGAAGAAGAAATTAGACTAAGAGAAGAAGAAGAAGCCAAAGTACAAAAAGAAAAAGATGAACGCGAAGCTGCAGAAAAGGCACAACGAAATGCACTTAAGGCAGAAAAAGAAAGTCAAAAGAAAGCTTTGAAGAAGGAACGTAAACATATAAGGGATTTATGTAAAACACATAATTACTATATTCAACATGGTGATAATGTTATTGAAATAATGTCAGGTGTTGAAAAAATTTGTGATCAACTTTCTGCCATACAACTTAAACAATTATCCAGTGCCCTCCAAATAGAAGGTCGCAAAGCATTAATAGAAAAACTTAAACAAATGGAATGCAGAGTTGAAATGAATAATGTTATTAAAAATGATATCAAAATTGTTGAAAAAAATAATAATGATTGGGAAACAGATGATGTTCAATTATTGATTAAAGCGGTAAATTTGTTTCCAGCTGGTACAAGCCAACGTTGGGAAGCTGTTGCAAATTTTATCAACCAACATAGTAAAAATGGTGACCGAAATGCCAAACAAGTATTAGCAAAAGCTAAATCTCTTCAAAATACTAACTTCACAGACAATGCTTTAAAATCTGAAATGAACGCCAATGCCTATGATCAATTTGAAAAGGAAAAAAAGTGTGAATCACAAATACCTGAAGTAGTTTCAGAACGCCCAGTTGGATGGTCGGCAGATGAGCAAAAATTATTGGAACAAGCTCTTAAAACATATCCAAATGCAGTTAAAGAACGTTGGGATAGAATAGCAGAATGTGTTCCAACAAGAACGAAAAAGGAATGTATGAAAAGATATAAAGAAATTGTTGAAATAGTTAAAGCCAAGAAAGCTGCTCAAGTGTAAAAGTTTATCAACTATTCTGAATACATGTTAACAAAACTTAATGTTTTTATTTAAATTTTTTTTGTTTTGTTAATATTTTTGAACAAAATTAAATTTTTAACTCAATATAGTTTTAATGACCATTAATCATTTGACACAATGTAGGCAGCAACTTGTAAAATGTATTCATTTTTATGAGGTGTACCAATTTGTAATAACATTTAAAAATCAAAAATTCTGTTTCCCTATTTTTTACAGAAAAGATGTTGATTATTAATTACTAAATCAGTTCAAAAAATGTATATAATTAATATACATTATGAAGTATAAATATTATTTTTGTATTACTTATGTTCATATTCTTATGATCCAAAATAAATAAAGTTGAACATTTTGTGGAGTGGGAAGAAGTTTGTCAATAAAGCAACTATCTGTTAATGTTTGAATGACATTTTTTTATTAATGATTTCAAATAAAATACTTAGAATTCCTACATACCTTAAAAAATAAAAATACACATGTCATTAATAATAATTAAAACAGAAGTTATTCATCATGTGAAAAAAAGTATAAATTATTGAAAAACTTAAATACTACGAATAGTGGTTCTTCCCGTAACCATTATTTGCCCTAGATCTTGTACTTCCTTAAGAGCATCATCTAACATTTCTCTGGTTACTTGAAATTGGAAAGCTGATTTAGTTTCACTTAATAACTTTTGATAGTTAAATATAGTAGATTTTGGTTGGCTTGATATCACTTTTGACAAATATTCTGCAAGGTCATGTCGTCTTTGTCTTGCAGCTGAACTCAATCCTGTAGTAAGTATTCCAACATCTATTTTGCCTGAAAGAGGATCAGTAGCACTTTGCTTAAGTGCTTCTCGGTATAATCTCCAAGCTTCATCAACATCAGTCATTTCCACGATGTTTGAATACCTCATTTTTGCATGAGCTTCGGATAACCTTATCAAAGATTCTAACTGTCTTGGATATGCAGACACTTGTCCTCTACCACTTCCAATAGTCCTCATGTTTACATAATATTGAATAAGTTTCTGTCTGCTTTCTTCATTCAAAATAGGTTGAAATGTTTCTCGGCCATAAGTTATATAATCTTGAAGTAATGTAGTATCCATTTGCTCTTCACGCTCATAGTGCTCACTTTGGTAATACAAAGATACCAAGTGATTGGCCAATCTTCTATCATACTGTTCGTTTTGAGGGTCCAACATTAAAAATATTAAATCAAATCTGGATAACAGTGTGTGTGGGAGTTTTATATTTTCTATAATGGTCTTGTTTTTATTCCACTGTGATTCACATGGATTTGCAGCAGCTAAAATAGAAGTTCTAGCATTCAATTGACAAATAATACCTGCTTTGGCAATACTTAAAGTTTGTTGTTCCATAACTTCATGCAATACACTCCTGGCCGACTCGCTCATTTTATCGAATTCATCAATGCAACAAACTCCATTATCAGCCAAAACTAAAGCTCCGGTCTGTAAAACCAGTTGTCTGGTTTCAGGATCTCTAATTACATAAGCCGTCATACCGACAGCTGAAGACCCTTTACCACTAGTATACTGACTTCTGGGTACAATATCATAAACATAAGACAAAAACTGTGATTTACTTGTACCTGGATCACCACATAATAGTATATTTATTTCAGACCTCAAATGATTTTTCTTTTTAGAAGTTTTTCGGGTCCCTCCAAAGAGTTGCATTAGTATACCTTTTTTTATATCGCAATTTTCATATATAGATGGAGCCAAGGCATTTGACAATCTATCATAAATATCTTCTGTTTTAGATAATTGTCGCAATACTTCAATTCGCTCCTCACTTATTTTATTTTTCTCTTCAACCGCAAATGATATACGGCTATCATTACTTTTCAAAAAGTGTAAAATGTCAATGTGAGTCCTGTATACACTACGGAAGTTTCTCATTCTAGGATTTATTTGCATTGGAACGGCTCGATAAATACCTGTTACAGATACACGGTCACCAGCTTGTACAGTTTCAATAAGTTCATTATAAGAGTATAAGTTTACAGTATGTGGAGTCTGACCAGCTGGCATTTCATCAGGGGATTCTTGAAGTTTAGTCAATTGTTTATCAGTAAAATTAGATTGATTATGTACTAATTCAAAACAATGATTAGTATTACAATGGGGACATAAAGTCGGCTCAGCAATATTACCACGATCAATTTCTACAATAGTTGTATAAGAACATACAATACAACGAAAAAATGCATCACGCATCTCAGGAATTATGTCACTACATCGAATAACCATTCCTGAAACAGTTATTAGCTGATCCATATCTTCAGGATTAAGGAATCGCATATTCTTGGTTTTTTGTACATTAAAAGGTCGCACTTGAAGAGCTTTAGTGACATGTGTCAAATCAGCTGCTGGATATTTAGTGAAAAATACTTCATTAACAACTGTATCGAATACTGGGATAACTTCTTGAGGGTAGCATATTAATTGATCATAAAGTTCAGAATCAAATTGATGCAAGTGAGCACAATTAATATCTACATATGGGATTTCCATTTCCAAGACATTACTCAATTTAGTCATATAATGAGGCAATTCAGATTCATTGACACAATATGTTTCAATAAAATTTTGGAATCTTAATCGACATTTATCAACTACTACATCTGTACCCCAAATGACTAAATTGGGAGCAACATCCTGGTTTTCAGGATCAGGACGAGGAGCACCATTTTCATAGTTTGCAGTATCCACTTGCCTTTGCCGACGATTAACCGATAAGTTATTTCTTTGAACTGAACCACCACTACGCATTGTGAAACCTGTAGCCCGAGAATCTACGGAACTTAAAGGGGAGCCGTAGTTTATCGGAGAACTAAGGTCTACTTCACTGGTACGCAAACCTTGCAGAGGGCTTGTCATAAAACGACGACTGGAAACAGAACCAGGTGTTCTGGTATGAGGTGAGCGGCCATTAGCTCTTGGTGTAATGTTATTTCTAGAAGGTGTCCTTCCTTCCCTTGGAGTAGTAGTACCATTTCTGGTGGGAGTCCTTCCTTCCCTTGGAGTGGTAGTACCATTTCTGGCGGGAGTTCTGCCTCCTCTTGGAGTAGTGGAATTATTTCGAGAAGGAGTTTGTCTTCCCCTCGGCGTTGTGGCACTATTCCGAGGAGTACGGTCTCCTCTTGGCGGAGTGTTACCATTTCCTTGAGGTGTGCGACCAGACATATCTTAAATCACAATACAATATAAATTATACTTGATCAGCTTCAACCAAATATAGTTATGAAGTTGTATTTACCTGAGTCCCTTAGAAAAATAAATACAATGAAATGTGAGATTTAATACAACTATGATTAAAAAACAAATAGTTAGTCTAGTTACTATTAATAAAATTTATTACACAAAATATAAAACAATAAAAATCCTAAGATCAGAATTTCGAGTCCTCACATCAAGACTTCAACAATTCACTAATGGAGAGTTAGTACTCTGGCGAGCACTGAGTAGTGGAGTGAAGACAATACAATAAAAATAAATGTATCAACAAAATTGGCGGCAAAATATAAATAAATGACAATGATCATAAATGATTTTTAAAGGTTAATACTTCTAATCAGTATAGCCATTTCTCATAACACAAATTACATTATCAAATTTAGAAGATATACTTAGGACATACTGACAGACAATAGAAATTAAATTTGTTATCTGATAAACATGATATGACAAAGTGGCGCGTAGTTTTTTACTTTTTACTTTTTAGACCTAGGCGATTAAATACTAAACAATAAAACAGGAATTTTAATTTTATCTGTTATAGAATAGTTTATAAATGAACCTGTGAATTGTAATAAAAACTGCTAAACAACGATTTCTGTGTATCGACTATAGACTCTTTAGAGTTCAAATATTGAAATACATGAAACATTTCAGTTATAATACTGTGAATTATACTCTGTTCTTCAATTTAATTTTTGAAACCCGATTTTAATGTAAGTAAAATTATTGCATATATACAACAGTTTTATGTTTTAACCAAATTTATCAAGTTATTTGGTTATACGATATTAGGCAGTTTTATTATCAATGAATACATTTAGTTTACTGCATTTTTGCTTATACTATTGTTGGAAAATATAAATATATTAAATATTATTATTTATATTATATTTATATTTTAAATATATATAAATACAGACAGGGAATAAATAATCTTGGTTAGCAGTTGCGCAGATCATTTTATAACTGGAAAATTCTAAAAACCTATAAATGTAATAGCCTTCACCTACTGATCATCATTAATTACTTTGAATTTTATGAATTAATCAGTAGGTACAATATTACACTTACAATATAGTTATTAATGATATTACCTTTACCAGCTACTAAGATCCACCATATAAGTGGACACAAACCTACCACAAAATTATTAAATATTTTTCTGGGGGGAGCGGGGGCATGTGCCTCCGTCCTTACACATCTGGGCATTTGTGCTACTGTATATGTAATAAGATATTCTATGATTATTGTTTGTACTGTAATTAGCAATGTATTATGTTTTTTGAGATGATTTTAGTTTGTTTCTATCTTCTCTTAATAATTTACCCCAGAATATGTCCTTCTACATTGTTGTGATTGTTACATTTAATTAATTTTCAATTACTAATGATATCTACCTATTTAAAAGACAGGTAGCAAGAACTTACAACAAAACAAAAGTTATATAGATGGTTTCACAGTATGTAGATAATACATTTTACCAGCCCTAGTGGTTGTGTACATTCTAAATGATGTAGGTATTATGTTCCCAATAACGTTTGGCAAAATTTAAGTTTTTTATCAAATTTCCAAATAGTTTTAAATTAGAATGATATTAGTGATGGTTGTTTTAAATAATTAAATTCAGACATAATGTATAATTTATATTGAATTCTAAGCTATATGTTTGTATTTTTGTTTTTTTGACAGATTGTGTAAGTAAATATCGAGGTAAATATATTAAAATTAAAATATATATTTATAAAATACCTACCTATATCAACAAACAGAATGGCATCAAAATTAAAAACTACAGATACAGACAAATTAAATATGGGAATGAAATCAATAGTAAATGAATTTAAAATCAGTTGCGATAAAGTCAAACAATTGAAAGACAACAAAGAGTTATTCAATCAAATGGAATTTACTGTCAAAACTTTATCAATTGAAGGTGAAAACGATGACTATGCTACACAATTTTCAAATTTCAAAGAAGCTGTGAAAAATGAACAATCGTTTTACTTTAATAAAACTGGAATTACTCACAATTTTTTATCAAAAAATGAACAGTTAGAATCTGCCGCAAACATCCTACAAGAAACCGGCATTGATGATTATAATGCTAGTAGCATATTCACTAAATATTTGTCAATGATTGAAAAATGTAATAAGCAAAAAGAGTTTATTGATGACATTGATGAACATTTAAATAAATTAAAAATAGTAATTGAACAACAGAATGATCTTAAATGTGAATTATCAAATATAAATTACTCACCTGTAGGATATACAGCTGAACCTATCAATATTAAACCAATTAAAAGTATACAAACCGTAGATGACTGTGATGAAATTGTGAAGTTGGTCAAAAAAATAACGGACATTGAAAAGAAACAAGAAGAAATCTATTCAGCAACTTCTGAATTAAAATCTGAACAGAAAAAAATGTACCATGGATTACCACCAAATATGGATCAAGCAATGATGACAGTACAAATAGCAGAGCAAGCAATGAAGGCTATATCTAAAAAATTAATGGAAAAACTTTAGAAAATGTAATTTTATAACTGATCAAAATGAATTATATTTTTATTACTTACTATTATTGTAAAAATTGATTTATAAACTGGATTTTTGTAAAACTGGATTTTATAACATATTTTATGATGAATCTATTAAAATTTATACAATTTTTTTGTACTTTTATTATTTTTAGTAGGATTTTTAGTAGTACAATTAATATATATTTTCTAATAAAAACTGTGTATATACTTTTAAGTAAAAATATCAAATCATTTTCCCGTTGAATTGGTCAAAATATTTTACCATAAATTATTTTTATTTTCTATCCAACGACAAATTGAAAAAAATATTGCAATAAAATGTATTGAAATTATCATTTTTAATATTTTTTTTTAGTAAATAATTCATTATGAATGATGAAAAAACAACAATGGAATACTTATTTCAAGTAGAAAGACAAGCAGAAAAAATACTTCTTAATAAAAGTGAAATGGTTGCCTTGGATAAAAGTAGAAATAGTAATCGTATGGCCATTAGAGCATTAACAAACTGTAAAACACCAGAAGACAAGATATGGATGGCAGTTGGATTATCCTTGGTAAAAGTTTCTGTTGAAAAAGCTAAAAATATGCTACAAGCAGGTACACCTATATTTATGTCATTAATTTATTTTCATTGTATATTAAAATACATAAATAATTTTCAGATCAAGTTACTTTAAATAATCGTATGAACATTCTTCGAAGCGACATTAAAGTAGATGTGAATAAATTGAATGATATGGAATATAAAGAACCAGTGAAAGGATTATTTTTAAATCCACTCACAAAGAAAGAAATGAAAGCAATGAACCAAGTACTCGGCATAGTTGAATAAGAACAAAGTGTCTTATTATTAATACATTAATTTAAATGAAAATAAAATTATTGACTTAGAATATTATGCATTTTTTGTGAGTATGTTTATACTTTAAGTACTGTCAGGTAATTTTTTTCTATATAACTATAAATGCATTATATTATACAGTTGTAAAAGGTCGTAACTTTGGGGGAGTTTCAAAATTGTTAAAAGTAAAACAAGAGATTTTATATGTAAAAATGATAAGTGTCCAGTATCCATATCAAAAAATTATGGACACCCAACATTTTTTTCTCAGTTACGGCCTTGCAGTTTTAATTATTTTTTCAAAAAACACTGATAATTTCATAACTAAAGACTTTTTAAACATTTTTTAAGATTTAAACATTTTAAGATGTTACAAACCATAGTTTTTTAAAAGAATTATTTTTTATTATTTAATATTGCCTTATTGGTTTCACTTTTAGGTTTTTACTGTTAAGTTTGTGTGTGATAACTATATATAAGTATAATATTATTCGGATTATTTTTGATTTATAAAAATCATATCGCATTCTCTGATTATGATTTATAAATATACAGTACAATAAAAATCTATACTTCAATAATATTTACATATAATTCAAATTATTTAACACAATTTACTTTAATTGATCATTAAAAAGGCGTACACCATCGTATAAACTTTTTCTTCAACATAAATATATAATAAACATAATATGTACTTAAAACTAACTTTTATTCTTCCTCTTTTATACATTTTTCAACTACATCTCTTAAACTTGGATTTTCCATCGCAGCTGCCACACGTTCCTTATCGTTTATTTGTTTGTTAACTGTAAATGTAATGAGTTAGTATATTGATAGTTCAAAATTAATAATAATCCATAAAATTATAATTACTTTCTTCTTCAGTTGTGTGAGCACCCTCTTTAATGTATATATCCAATTTAACATTCTCCAAAATAGTTCTTATAACTTTTATCCTTATGCTAAGGCCAATTAAAGTAGCTAAACTGCAATGTGGTACTGTAGGATTAAATTCAATTCTGACAGTATATAGTTTCAAGTTTCTTTGATTAATTACCTGCAATTATTATTATCAAAGTTGCCTTTTTAGTAATTTCCCGTGCAGCAAGTGACATAAATATATTATGATTCTGGCACGTGAAAATAACCATAAAATATCAATCTGGCAAGTATCTGTGTAAAAGGTGATGAATGTATAACAATTATTATTTGAATAGATTACTCCTTATATTATTTTAAAATAGGTACCCATTAATTCACATGCAAAGTAGAATATCAGCGTACAAGGTACAACCGAATACATATTTTTACGTTGACACATAGTGATATTGATAGAAATCATCACAGTAAAAACTTTTCAAATAACTCATTTAATTGAATTTTGTTTATATTATATGGTAAGTGTGAAGGTAGAACAATTGAATTGTATAAAAAAATTAACTTAATAATTAATTATACATGCAATCCTCATGCCTGTATGATTCAGAAATATTTGATAAATATTTTTTATAGACTCATGGAAACTATACTCTGGCTCAAAAGAGAATAATTAGCCGGGCCAACTGAATTATACCAGTGCTGCACATCTCCCACTAACATGTCAATGTTAACGTGATCAGGGGGTTCTTGACATGCAAATTTCATTATTGACGATGCACATAAAGTGATTGTTCTTTTTTGAGGCAAAAGATAGTCTGGTATTTTAGAATATAAACAAAAGTAATGGTTTGTTTAATGAACAGTGATGAAGAGTAATAATAAATAGTTATTTTAAAATGGATTTTTTTCTTTTCTGTTATGCATTGCATAATGTGACCAATAGTATAAAAAATTGTAAATGTAAATAAAATATGTACATGCATGCACAAAGGTGGCTGACCCTAAAAAATATGGGAATGAAGCTCACGGGAAAATAAGAAAATAAGTGTACACAAGTATAAGTATAATTTTTATGAAAGAATATATTATGATACCTATTTGTCTACCAATTAATAAAATTCATTATTTTGAATACTGACCTCTACTCCATTTTCATACACGACACTAAGGTCTTCCAGGGTAGCTGGTTTCTCTGGATCCTTAATTGTTCTAATAATATCTGTTTGTTCAAAAATAATTTTAAAACCAATTAATTATGTTGTGTAAATATAAGACTGATGATACCTACCATAGATTTGGTCCTTCAATTCTTGTGTTTTCTCATCGATTTGTTCGTCTGTAGCCTCAATTGCAATTGTATTTGTTGTCGCATTTCCACTGTCATTTTTTAAATACTTCTCTTGAATAATTTTTTTTGTTTGTTGCATGAGATTAGCAAACATCATCAACAAACTACTTATAGTCAAAATCATGAGCAAATTTTTTTCTTTGTACTTCGGTTTCGATAAAAAATATAAATTTCATGCACAAAATTGGTTTTATGAGTATAAATTTAAATTTTTTCGTTTTACACATATGCAGTTACTATATGGTTAGTCTTACTGATTACACATTACAATACAAATGAGTATGTTTATTATTATTATTTATTAAAAAACAACCACCAAGTAACAACAACAACAACAACAGAGGCTGATAATTTATAAATGATAACCGTGTCCCTGATATAATATTTATTTTGAGCTCTATAGATCCACTTAAAAACATTAATAATTGTTCCATAAAAGTTTGGATTACAAGCCACAGCCCACAGATTATTATAATCTTAATTCTATGATTTACTTCACGATTTAAGATTGGTACCTAATAAAATTCTTAATTCGTGAATAATTTATTACAGACTACACTGACCTACTCAATGACAAAGTACAGTTTTTTTCATGTGGTATCATGACTGAGGTGGGAGAATCATAACCACTGATTATATAACAGTTATTTCTATCATGTTTTATATAATCTGTGTCATAACAACTATTGTGAACTAGAGAGCCTTTAATAATATTTTATTTTATTAAGGCTCTCTACCGTGAACTATAATAAATTACTTTAAAATTAATCTATTCTGTATCAGTCGTGAAATAATAATATATCACTTTTGTTATGGATTCCCGCGACGATCACGAAATAAGATACCTACCTATACCTATATGGCTATGTAATATATCTTAATTCGTGGCGACGAATAATTATAATCATTTATGAGTAGTCCACACCACGGTTATCCGCAATACGCCGGGCATAGGCATAATAATATCGCTGAAAATAAACCCTAAAAAATAATCACACCACGGAAAAAAATTTAAATATAAATATGAAAACATGTAGACATAGTACATATTTTGTGTTTTAAGTTATAATGATTTATTATTATAAATTGTTTTGTTTTGAGCCGATGAGCTATTAGGTGATTAATGGTATTATAAAGAACCAATAGTCAAAAAAACATTAGTCTTAGGTTTATACTATACCTGCATTTATACAAAAATTAAGCTAAATTGAGCTAAATTTTTATAAAGGCTAAAAAAAAAAATGGAAAAATATATTTCCATTCTTTTTTTCTACAGGTTGACCCAACAAGTATCCTCACCCCCTTTTTTTCTTTAATAATGAAGTTTTTCAAAATCTGATTTTTGGAAATATTTTTATATTTTTGTATATTTTTTTTTTTATATTTTTATATTTTTGGTAATATTTTTATATTTTAAAGACAATATTCTTGAAATTTTTTGTGCCACTTAAGGAGTGTCCTGTGGTGATCCGAACCTTTGTTTTTCAAATGAGAACCCCACTTTTTGTCTTTAAATTATTTAGCGGGCTATTTTTTTTGTATTGATTTCAATGCATAAAAATTCTCAAAAAAAAAATATCCACTAAATAATTTACAGTAAAAAAGTGGGGTTCTTTAAGTTGGATTCCTAAGATTCATTTGAAAAACGTAAGTCTGTATCGCCACAGGACACTCCTTAAGTGGTACAAAAAAATCTCAAGAAGATTCCAGAAATCAGATTTTGAAAAACTTCATTATTAAAGAAAAAAAAGGGGGTGAGAATACTTGTTGTGTCATCCTGTATTAGGTGACATTGTCAAATATAATACTATAAAATTTCAATTGTTTTACTTTTAATAACAACTATTGAAAGAAAATAATATCGATCATTTATCGTAATAAAGACTGTAAAGAATAAAGCATTTAAAATTTTTTTTTTTTAATAGCGTTTATTGAAAATGTACAATCTATACAAGTTATGTACAATGAGTAAATTTGAGGGAGGGATGACAATGATGGGACAGTGAAGGGAAGCTCACAGTTGAGCTACCTTTTAATGAGTCTTAAATCTAGTTAAATAAATATAATAGTATTTTAGATAAGGTCTCTGGACCAATTTCTGTCAAGTCGGCGGGTTTAAAATTTAAAATTTAAATAAAGGTATTTGATTTTCAGACACAAATTCATATTGGACGGTATTTATATTTTAAAAAATACATTCACTCAATTATAAGATTGCTTTTTTTTTGGTCAACTTTTTATGGGCCATCACATGAGCTTGGACAGTGGAGCCCATTATTCTGTTGAAATAAATAAAAACGAAAATACACTCTTAATACGTAAGAAAAGATACAATATTTTGTTGTTATGGATAATTTTTGTTTCA